GGAACAATCAATGAATCAGTAGATAATAGATAACTCTCGGAGTCAATAAATCAATAAAGCCAATCGGTAAATTTTTTGAGGGATTATTATATTTGTGATCAGTATGTTTAACAAAGCTGAAGACAATCCGCAAATAATAGGCTATGTGTTCTTTGTTTCCATAGCTATGGCAAAAATAAGCAAGCATATTTTGAATCAAAAAAGGCTGATGCCAGAAAAAACTTTAGCATTTTATAGGGCCGGAAGGAGAGTTGGTTCCGACAACTGATTATTTTTCAACGCAAAAATTTAGCTTTTGTATGTCCTTTTTCATTCGCGTAACATGGCATTTCGAAATGCATTTTCTCTAACAAAGGTCAGCAATGATTACATTCCAAAATAGTCACGATGTTTAAATTTACGCAGTAAATCGAACTATTTTCTTGTTGTGATTGAAACAACAAGTAGAGGATAAAACTTCATGATAACTACGCGTTTACCTCTTAACTATCAGCAAATGTAAGACGAAATTATATAGCTGAAAGCCGGTTTTAAAGGTGGTGGTTTTTTGGATTATAGGTATTGGAGACTATTAGCTAAAGGTGATGCCAGTGGAAAAGAAGTTGATGCAGAATTTAGCAACTCTGCCAAACCACATTTGTATGTCCTTTGCACGACTGCACGCGACCACAAACAGCTAACTCGACATACTGAAGTCATATGAGCTGGGCTACCAACTCTGCTCCCTCCACCATACTAGTTGGACATCTTGCAAGCCCACTAACATTATTTCGAATAACTTCCTGCATAGTGATCCAAAAAAGACCACAGCAAAACGGATTTCAAAGACTTTGGCCTCCGCGTCGGACAACAGAGCTGTCGGCAAAAGCAAAGTTGCATCCGAATAGAAAGAAGAAAAAGAACTTTACTTTAAGCTGGTATATGAGTCTAAAGTGAGTAAATCCAAGCGAATTTTCTTTTCGACGCAATAAAGAGCGTTCAAAATTTTTACTTCATACACTCTAAGAAAGGCCATAATGGCGAACTCACGCTTGAGTTGGATCTGTAGTATGCTTCGCTAATGCTTCTTTTAGGAATTGGTTTCGCATGCTCGTGTGACCGTGCACATGCTTCTCGAAGTCTGAAGGCTAATTTTTCACCACATCAGTAATAAATGAACGCGCAATATCGAATGCTCACAAGTGGAACCATCGCTCTTTCTCTCGAGCAGCTCTCACAAACAGGTAGATCGATCGCCCCTTGGTACGACAGCTAGAATGACCATCAGGCAAGCTCACAAAATCTGGCATTTCGCTTAAGGAGCTTGCACGCCCGATGCGAGAACGCTGCTGTTCATCTTCGCTGTCACTGGTGTCTGTTTCGGCGGCATAACCATCATCGGAAGCCATTTCGCCTGCCATTGGTAGATTATCCGGTGCCGACTCCACGGGATGCATTGAAACCGATCTGTTACATTAGCATAATTTAATGCTAAAGGTCAGATTTAAGGAAAGGTCAAAGAGGGAGTTATAAACCTCGACAATGGCTTAGACAAATCAACATCTCCTGG